TATGTGTTTATTTGTGCGTATTTCAAGAATTTACTAAAACTCTTCTTCTTCGATCACTCAGGTTGTTAGGTTATTATTTAACCTTTGTCGCTGTGGACTGTATTAAAAAAACTGATTTAATTTTATATTCTGTATTTGTTGCAGTTCTAATCACAATAACTGATGTATTATTAAGTATTAATGAAGAAAAATATATTTATGCGTATAGGTTAGTTACATGTGTTTAAGTCGGCTTCACTTTTAGAACAGACGACTCGTTCCTTTAAAACACTCCGCTACCCCCCTCTACCAGGGGTAGCAACCATTCCGTATAAAGCTTAATGCTCTGAAGTTTTGTAAACTTTCATGCCAATATAATAAAATGAAAAGACGTCCGAACATGCCGGCCGCCTTGAAAAGCTACAGCTTTTAAAAATATAAACATAGCGATTTTGAACTAACATTAAGTATAAAAATTGTATAAAGATTTTACGAGTATAAAAATTGATTAACAATGTAATAGTGATTTGCATGACAATCTAATCTAAAATTATTTAACTTATATTTCTTAATATTATATAAAACTTAAGATATTTCATTATTGATTGGTAGAATGCACACTTTGTTTAGTGCCCTTTTTAATTCTCCATTGGGGCCCTTCAGTGTAACAACCCGTACGACACCATCATTGCCTGGGTGTATATCTGTGATCCGTCCAAGACGCCATTTTAATGGTGGTAGATTGTCATCTTTTATAAGCACCAGTTTGCCTATAAGATTATCTTGTTCCATTGGTCTTCTCCATTTGGTCCGTGATTGTAATTCTCCTAGATATTCCTTGTGCCATCTTGTCCAAAAATGCTGCCTTAGCTTTTCAAGATGCTGAGTTTTGTTAGTCTGTTTTCTGGGATGTGGGAAAGTGAATTTTCTGGAAGTGATGTTAATGATCTGCCGATCAGGAATGTGCTGGAGTTAGTGGATTGAGATCAGATGGATCAGAGGATAAGGGAGTTAACGGACGAGAATTCAAAATTGCTTCGATTTGTGTTAATAATGTATACATTGAATTGTAACATAATTTTGTCTCGCGTAACACCCTACGAAGATGGTATTTTAAACTTTTTACTCCAGCTTCCCACAGTCCGCGCGAAATGAGGAGATCTAGCTGGTATAAAATGCCAGCTAATTTTGACTTATTAATTTGCTTCTAATCTCTTCGTTAGATTCCAATAAAAATTTATATAAATCTTTTAAATGATTGTTTGCTCCAACGAATGTGTTGCATTGTCCGAAAATATATTACTAGGAAGACCTCTTCTAGCAATGAATCGTTTTAATGTTTGTAAAAAGGATTCTGTCGATAAATCGCAGACCAGATCCAAATGAATAGCCTTGGTGCACATGCAAATAAAAATACAAATATAAACCTTAATAAATTTGGCACCGCGTGTTATTCGATCTTTGATAAT